GGCTACTACATCTTGGAGTACCTGAACGCCACTGACGAGTGCTTCCTGGCATATGGAAAATGCAAAGAGCAGGATCGGGGACCCGACCAAGCCTTGGCTCGAGAACGCAGCATGAACCTGGTGGAGATCTACTGCGACGTGTCTTACGCTCCACAAGGGGAAAAAAGTGTTCAAGGCATTATAGCCATGGTGGGTGGTGGAGTGGTTCAATGGGAATCCTCAAGGCAAAGCTGTATGGCATTGTCGACGGCGGAAGCCGAGTTGTTGGGCTACATCGAATCGTCCGTGATGGGTGACAGTTTGCAGGCCTTGATGACTGAGGTGTTGGGGGTGGAGGAGCCGCCGGCAGTGGTCACCTATGGGGATAGCCAGGCAGCAATCGCCATCATCCGACAACCTGATGGTCCGTGGCGAACTCGCCATCTGCGATTGCGTTCACACGCCTTGAGGGAAAGATCACGGCTGGGAACTTGGCAGATCTACCACTTGGAGGGGACGAAGTTGATTGCGGACTTCCTCACCAAGGCCATTGCCGTGAAGACAGCATGGCAACGCTTCCGGAAGTTCATTCGCATGGTGGACCTGGGGGAGAATGACATGGACCAGGAGGCTGAGGTTCCGGAGGGCGAGAATGATGGTGGAGTGCGATTGGCTAAGGTCGCTCTATGCCTAGCCAGCTGCGCCGCATTCTCTGGGTGGCCGAGTCAAATCGTCAAGGTGGCGGTGGTGGCTTCTCTGAGCGTGGCTTTAGCAGCTGAAGCGATTAGGGTTTTTGGTAGGAAGAGGGTCAACGCCGGGGATTCAAAACCACGTGTTTTCCAGAATCAGTACAACAATAGCAGTTCCGGGGGAGAATCCCTAGTGGCGACCCGACCCAAGTTGTGTACCCTGCGAGCGGGGCTTGCAAGGGAACAAAAAGACCAAGAAAGGTCACAACAAGAAGGAAAAGAAAAAGAAAAAGAAGAAAGTACAAGAAAAGAACAAGAGGCCAGAAATGAAGAGGCGTCGGGCCGCACGCCAGGGTCGGAGACTTCGATGTCTCAAAAGTCGGAAGACCCTAACAGTAGCCTAGAGGCTCCCAATATCGTAGAACTCGAAGCCGCGAGCGCTCGCCATGGCATTGGGGGAAAGCTGCAGCTGCGCTTTGGCCGGGCTAGCGAGATTGAGGAGTCCGGCTACCAGGGTGTGGCTGCATCGTCTTCTTCGTCGACAACGACTGGACAGCAAAGGGGATCGAAAACGGTCCGGGAAGAAAGTCCGCCCGTGAAGTCTCCGCCGGTGCTGCCGAAGTATGTGCAAGGGGTGCCTGGTCCGTTGCCGAAACCTCCACCTGTGCTGCCGAAGTATGTGCAACATGTCAATGAAACCATCGAGGGCTTGAAGTCCGGGTATTATCCACGGAAAAGCCCGCCATCAGGGCCGATGGGCGACTCTGGGGGCAAGGCAGCGGCGCGGGGGGCAGCGGCTATGGGGACTACATCCAAGGGTTCGTCTTCGTGCTCAGGCCAGGAGGTGTCCAAGCGACCTGCTCGAGTGGGATCGGCGTGGCCAGAAGAATATCCTCCTTGGGTGGTGGCGCCACAGCCTGGACCTCTTCCGCATCCATCTGAAGGGCCTCAGGATGACCCACACCGAGCTTATCCTTCACCATGGGATCGGCCGCATTGGCCTCCGGTGCCTCGGCTGGTTCCACCTGTGGGAGATGAAGGAGACACCTTGGTGATTCAGCCATCGCTTTGGTGGAACCAGGAGCTCTTTGACAAGGTGCAGCGACTGGTGGATGAAGAAGCCACGAAGTTTCGACCAGTTCCAAGGACGGACGCTTGGGACTATCTTCGCCTGCCGCTGGAAACGTGGATGGTCCGACGGCACAGTTTGAGGGTGCAGAGATTTCACCCGGAGCATCGATCGACACCCGAAGACATGAGGGATCTTGAGTACCTCAGGGTGACGGTGGCTTGGCTGCTCAACCAGAACACCATGAAGTTTTCTGAGCGGCTGATATATGTAGATGCCGAATGGCACAAGGATGGTTTGCCAAATCTGCACGGCAAATGGTGCGGATTTAGCTTTTCCTTGGTCAAGGACCGATTTCGTGTTGCGACATAGATCGCAAGGGGGAGCGTGAGTCGGCACAAGCACATAGACCACGTGAGACCCACAACCAACTTGGCGAAAAACCGCCACAACGTTTGGCTCAAGAAAAGGACCGCACACACATCCGTGACGCTACTCCCATGATTCCAAATATAAGCCTTTGCCTTGCCGAGAGTTGCCACAGCTGGGTGGAGGACGGAAACACAGACCAGCTGAACAAGCGCGTGGGCGGCCCTGGGATGTTGGCTGAAGTGGCAGCAAAGGTGGTTCAGACAGATTTGACTGGTTCACCAGCTTCACTTGCGTGTGCTTCTACTCTACTCATGCTAAATGACGGCGGGAGAAAGGGGACACTGTGCCAACAGAATCGTTGCCAAGATTTGGAACTTGTAGGTTTGTGCTTGACTGCTTGAGTTTCTGCTTCGTGGGGTTAAGGCTGGTTGTATTTGCAGACCAGCTGCTCCGATACATTCCAGTGTGGGACCAGCACCGCATCCAAGAAGACAACTCCAGTGAGAAAATCCTTTGCACATCCACACCTGTGGCACTGGCACAGAGGTGTGCAAACAGTTGAAGTTTGCGTAAAGCCCAGGGATCTGTTGTTTGATGGTTTGGTTTTGCTGGGTGGAAATACTTGGGGGCGCTGGATCTTGAGCAGATTGGCATCGCGTGCTAACAACCAAAGTATAACAACCAAAGCCATGAGTCATCTCGCTAGTTTCTCGCACTATGAGAAGATTTCAGTTGGAATCGACGAGTGTTTGGTTTCAAAATGGTTCAATGACTTTAAGACTTACTCGACTTGCTCGTTTATAGTCACCTTTTCTGATGTTATTATTTTATTATCAGACGTTTTTTCGCCCTGGTGTTACCTCGGGACGAGTCGGACCCGCTTCGAGTCGGACTCACCGTCAAGTGGGCGCCAAGATCCGAGGTCATCGTTGATGGTGAAGAAGGTGCACAGTTCCGCTGCAAGGGAGATGAAAGACGGTGAAAAGCAGAACCTCGGGTGGGCTTGTGCCCTATACATCTCTTTATGCAACTGAGGGCATGTTGATTTGCCCTTGATTAGCAGCCATTAGAAGTGAAGATAGTGGCTGGCCATGCTATTGGTAGGTGGAGATGATTCATTGCCACCTTGGTTGCAGAGGTGAAGGACAGCCTCGCATCAACATCCCATTGACGGGCTATCAAAGAATTAGTTTTCCAGCAGTGCTTTCCAACATTCCCTTTGAGCCCCTTGGTTGCCAACATCAGCTTAAATGATAAGCGACACAACCAGGGGCCCTTGGGATTGCCAACATAACATCATACATCATTCATGTTCACTGGGTTTTGCCAAAGCCTTGCAATTCCATGATCACCCTAATGTTCTTAGCAGTACTTGTAGCAATTTGAAGGTTCTCCCAACATCTCCCAACCACATCTCCCAACCACACCCTGCCTACCGTGCCCTCCGTGTAATCTATCCCACATCAGATCAACACCCCTTTGCAAGGCATGTGGGTCCTCGAGGGGGATGAAGTGGTGGCGGTGAATGGCACCAACGTGGAGGGGAAGTCCTTGGATGAGGTCCTTCAGACGAAATCCCTGCGCAGCCCGGAGGGAGGGGCATCGCAGGTTTCTGAGGGGCATCGTTCAGCGCGGCTTTACTTCCCGCCTTCTCTTGGGGAGGTGGAATGGGGGAAGGATGTTGCAAGTTCTGGCAAACATGGCCCCAGATCCACAAAGTGCTCAGTTCCGGCGGAGGCCCCACACAGTCATCGCCCGACTCACGAAAAATAACGTCCCATTTACGGTCGCCCGGTTTTGAACCTATGGAGATTTGTAGCACTCAGGAGGCTGTTCCCAGCACCTAAGTAAAAATGCATGTTACTTAGCTGGAGCCTGGACTGATCGGTCAAAGAGGCAGGGTCGATGACCAGCCGACGTCTCGTAGCGTTCGCTGTGCTCGTGCTCTTTACGGAGCATCATGAGGACCACCATCACTTGGGGTGTCCAACCGATGTCCAACCGCTGCCAGGTCGGGCCCTTGGTGAAGAACTCCGAGGGCGCTTGACCTCAGACGGTGCTGCCATGGCAGGGCCAAGTATTTTTTTCTCCGTGGAAGACGGTAACCCTGCACAGAGGGAGGAAGGGCGAAGTGTTGGCATTATTGTGTGTATATATTACATGTGATGTATAGCCACGTTTTGCAGCTGGTTCAACTGTGAGACTTAAATGCATGGCGTACCGGCTTGCGAAAATCGGACCCAGTCTCAACTGGTCCGTGGCGAGCCGTGGAGACAATCATCACATTAAAAGGGGGTACAATCCCTGGAATCATGTTACAATGGTTAAGTGGATGGCATGTTACCATGTTACTCATGGTTCAGTGGATGGCATGACCATGTTACAATGTTCTACAAACAGGTGGTGCCATCCACGTAAGCATGATGATTCCAGAGAGTGCACTTACTTTGATAAATCTGTCCTTAATGTCCAAGGGGCAAATGAGATTTGACAAGAACCAACCTCTTGAGACAGCAGTTAGGGAGAATATCGGCATTGAGGTATTCTTCCGTGACTAAAGCTTCTTGATGGCAGCCGCAGCCAATGGCCTGTAGATCGGCATGGAACACAGTCAGACTGGCCCCGATGGCACACAAAGAAACAGCCAAACTGAGAAAGATAGGGACTGATGGAGCCCATGGTGGGGTTTCAAACAGTTTGAGGTCATTTGCCACCTGGTTCTGTATTTCTTTCAGTCGAACTGAGGTTACAAACTTTGCCTTGACAAAAATAATGAGACACTGACTTCCGGGCGCTTGGTCCCTTTGCAACCCAGGGCACCACATCATTTAGCATGGCGTCCTGGCTTCAAAAACACACGTCCTGAACACCCAACCAACATCTTCGGTCGTCCTGCACCGAAACCCACCGGAACCACCGCTGTGCTTTTCCGTGCCATGCACAAGAGCGGCGGTGTGGCTCGTGCTGCCGGCAGCACTTTGCTGAAGTCCAAGGAGCAGAAGCGTTGGATGCTCAGGGTCCGTGGATTTTGATGAATATCCGGAGCTCAGAGATGTTCTGGTTTTAGGGTTCCAACTAGAGGGACTATGAGAATGCCAGGGGATGAAAGGGTATTCCTTTGCACTCGCGGCTTAGTCCGCGCTCTGACAGAGACCGTCTCAGACGACTTCCTCCACATGTGCAGAGGGTTGCTCCGAGTCTTGGGTCCGAAAATCACCAAAGGTCTACTCCTGGTCTACTGACTGTATGGATTTGCCTTTCAAACCACCCCTTCAGTGGTTTGGTTTGAGTCATTTGAGGAATGTCCAGCCTATTCCAGCCTTTTTGCACCTGAGGTGATGCGCGAGATGAAGCCTTGGAAGCTTTGGAGCAGGAGGCTCGGACCGGTGTCTTTGGAGCAGAATGAGTGGAAGATGTTACGAGGTGATGGGGGTTTCCGGAAAGCTGGCGGCTGGGTATTTGGCAATAAGAGAGAGAGAGAGAGAAAAAACAAATAGCGAGGCAGAGTCCCTCACGAAGACTGGCCACTCCTTCTTTTCTGGCTTCGCAGGTGGAGTCCCTTCGGCAGGCGGTACAGCAGGAGCATGGCGAGATCGCAGGGCTGTGTGGAACCTCAGCATGGCTGTGGTGCGAAGAGATTCTTATGAGTGGAGCGGCATGGGCGAGCCTGTTGCCAAGCATTGCTAAGGCGACTGGGCCTGTATAGGTAGTAACGGAAATCCAGCCCACGTTTCAGTAGTAGTAGAATATCCATGTGCACACAGTCACATGGGAGAGCCCCAGCCACTGAGCTTTACCTGATTTGTCTCTTCCAGGAGGATGTTTGCCTCATCCTCTTTCACACACACTACACTACACCAACACCCACATGATTTTCTGGAGCGACCAGGTCGGCCAGCTTGGGTGAGCTGTTCATGCGGAACAGTTGCGAGGTGAGGGTGTCCAGATTCGTGCAGGTGGAGAAACAGATGTTGGTGCTGCCATACTGACCCACGCATCCCTAGAACATATCCGCAGAACACATCCTAATCAAACAGACTTAGTGAGTCGACTGTCTTTCGATTGTTGGGATGATCGTATTCGTCGCATGATCCGTGCTCCACCGCGGACTGCAGTCCAGGAGTACCTTTTGCAACTGGAGAGACGGATCCAGGCCGGGGCTCTGAGGTCAGAACAGCTTCGGTGCTGGAGAGTGTTGGAAATCCACCTGGTACAATGTTTTGGATGACTTTGGATGCTTATTTGAGTGGTGGCGCTTGTGTTAGATATGTAGTTATGATGTCTTTTTGTTCAACCTTGATGTGGGATTGCAAGTGCCTGCTGTGGAGGACCAACACCGGCCTCCACTTGTGGTCCTCCGCACGTCCGGTCGGTCATTCGTGCCCAGTGGTCATCGTCTCGATTCAGGTCATTGAGAACCGAAACGTTGAGGTGGTCCATTGGAGGACGGAGGGGGGGTCTTCCCCATGCGGCGGTGTCCTGAGTGTCCTGGCTGGAGGTAATCCAGCCTACTACTGGCTGGGATCGTAGGATCTCCATTGAACACCCATTAGATGATCCTCCCGGGGTTGGAAAAGTGATGAAAAGGGATGGGATATCCTCGTTGACGACACTCCCTAGGGTCCAATTCGCCCTGCTTCATGATGCTTCACTTAAAGAATGGTTCCACGCATTCCCACTCTGGTCTGGAACACGTGTGACTCACTCGGTTCCGGATCTCGTTTTGCCAAGCGTGGCACCAGTACAGTACTGGCGTGTCCATATATTTAAAAAATACACTGTATACCTAATTAATTGTTTATGTGTTTTCTTTTTTTACGTTGCTTGTCAACATCCAGGAGGGCTTGCGATGTATACCAGAAAAAGCTATTTCCAGCTCCAACGTGCCTGTGGTTCTGGAGGATCGAACATGCGGAACAAGTCCGCTCGCAACATCAGAAGGCGGTTCCGCTACGACAGAGCGAGAAGAGTTTGACATGAGGAATCACCGCCTCGCACCCTCTTTTTGTTGCAGTTTTTGGAGCAAAAGGCAATTTCATGAAAGATCCAACTGATGTGTGTTCTTAGGGTTCAGTGGGTTGAGTGGTGCCTCTCGCCTGCAGATCCTTGTTGGATTGTTCGACTCGTGTTTGTGGGTTAGATTAGATTCTCCAGGCTCTAAGCATCACTGGTTTTGTGGTAGAATGGCTGCCGTAGGAAGCTACAGGACGTCAAAGTCTCAGATATTTTCACAGAAAGTTAAATATGGCCACTTGGCGAACAGCCACAGAAAACGCACGGTTTCAGTAATTTTGTGGTAAGTAGTAGTGTGGCACCAGAATCCTCCTCAACCAGGTCGGCTGCGAGACCCTTGTAAACCAGTTTAAGTTAAACCTCTTATGTATTTATATAGTTACATAGATACCCTGAACCTGTTGAACCTTAAACCATGAACCTGCATGTCTTCACAGCATCTGTCATGTCGCTTCCGTTGGGCCGTGTCCACAGGGTGAGTTTCTGCCGTCTCCCGAGTTCTCTGCGGGGGGCCTGGGTGGCTTCCGTCCGGTGTCCAAGAGGCCCCCACCGCCGGTCCCGGCGGTGCCTGATGCACGCGTGGTGGGATTTCCTGTAGGAGTTAGGCCGGTTTCAGAGTCTTGAAGACTTCAGGGTGAATCCTTCACCTCGGGGTCAAGAATGATCAAACATTCATGCTTTGCACAACCTTGGATGCACCGATTTCAGCATGGTGAACGGGGTTCCAGACCAAGTTGACGGCTTGGAGTCCCACAGGGTGGATTTGGGGGATGTGGGAGGCAATGGAAGACGTGGACCTTTCACTACAGTAAAGTTACATGGTGTTGAATGGTATATTTGGTGGTTTGTATCCAAGTTTCCCAACTTAGTCTATAGATTCTAGATACAGTTCTCGTTTTAATCCCTGGCAGCCCACTGCCTACAGAAGGGCAGCTCTGGCTGATGGTGCGAAAATGGTTTTGGCCCAACCCCTTTGCCGACAGTCCCCAAATCCTATGCTCTATGCATCTATGCTGCATAAGATTATGGACATGTGTCGCAGGCTGAGATGAGCTTCATGCCAACATCCTCCCTACAAAAACCTGATTTTGACAATCTTCCAGAGTTTTCAGGCATCTCCCAAGACATTTCCCAACATCCTTCCCTGCTCACCTCTTGGGGCTAGCGGCTTTTGAGCACCAGCTGAGGCTTCCACTTTTACCCCAGAGGTGCTGATGAGATGTGGGCTGTGAGGTTTTGGTATAGCACGCCTCCCCATGCTTCCACTCCCAAAATCATCCAAAGCCAAGACGCATGGCCGCATGGTTGTTTTTAAAGGAAATCCATGTTCCACGTTTATTCTTCGGCAGTGAGATTGCTTAGATTTCGGTGAACCCACGAGCATGAAAAGCACATACTTTGAAGGACTACGTCATGTCCGCGTTTTGGAGCCTCACCCTGCTTCACTGTTGTTTGACAAAAGGGATCAAAAGGCTACAAAGCGCGATTGTTGACTACCCGAAGTTGGTCAGTCAAAATGTAAACTCTCCGAGAGCCCCCCAGTTTCCTCTTGATTTCTTGTTTTCTACCGCCTCCATCCCCAGCACTTGAGATACCTTGTTTCCCTATGCCTTGACAATCACATATCATGCCAGGCGACGTTTTTTGCGAGGCAGGATTGTCGCGATCACGGCAGATGTGCTCGCTTGATCAGCTAGTCAAGTGGACCGAATGCCATGCTACAGACCGACCTTCAGCACGGTGTGCAGAGTAGAAGCATGGGGAAGTCTGCTGAAGTGTACCAGTGGTAGAGTGGGGTGACATGTGCTGACATGTTCTTGATGCGGCCCCCAACTTTGTCAAGCTTTAGTGCCGGCGCAGCTCGTACTGCCAGGAAGGCTATTGCTCTTTGTACCTTCACCTTCCACCAGACACCAAGGCCATGGCCGGGAGAGCTGACCCCACACTTTCAACAGCTGACCTTCGAACAACATGTCCAACTCACTAATACGCTTACTGCAGTGCTTACTGCATATACAGTCGTGTCAAGAAGTAAATGGCCTAACCACCCCCAAGCTCGGTGGTTTATGATGGGCCCCCATTTACAAGAGACATTTGTGGGTGCCAGTGCCATCTACTTGCTCTGAAACCAGGCCCCTGCCCACGATACCCATGGTGTGGATTCCTCCGGAACGGCTGATCTCTCCAGGTGTCACGCACCCTCTTCGTGGGCCGCGCGAGACATGGGCCATCAGAGGCGGATTCCCTGAAGCCACTGGGCACAGAGAGATGATTTGATTTCAGGCTCTTTTCAACTTTTCCTGCTGCACACCTGGGCAAGAAGACGTCTTGAGTCTTGAATTAAATGTGTTTGATGTATTTTGTTTCCAATGTTTATTCAATTGTCAAGGTGCCGTGTTAGGAACTGCGGAAGACCCCTAATCCTAGAGTTGCCGGAGAAACTTGTGGCTACACCAAACCTTAAATTTGTTCCTTGACTCTTTCAGATGCCAAGACCACCGGGAGCGAGCTGCTCAGGAACTGCGGTGTCTCGGAGATGTGCGTCGCTTGTGCTGCATCATGTTTGGCACCACCGGTATACCTGAGTGCTGGTTGGAAATTGACATAAATATATTCATACATGTCACGAAAGCTAGCGAAGCTAGCTGGAGTTACTCTTGCGATAGCAAGGTTTCTTTCCACCGGGTGCAAATCCTAACCCCTGATTTTTCAGGTCGAAGACCCCCCCCCTTCCCCCTCCTCCCCTCTCCCCTCTCCCCTCTCCCCAC